ACCCGCATTCAGGGTAGGTTTTCTCTCTTCAGTTAAACCTCTCAGGAAATACCTTCATAGACATATCAGGAAGTATGTCTCCTAGGGGATTCCAGTTGGCAATCAAGATTAACTCTTGCACATGCTATTACTGCTCGGAGCTAGGCTAGTGTTGCAGACATGATAGGACTTTTGTGCCATGTGTTGGTATGTATAGGGTTGCCCTAGAGGATGTATGGAAGCTGGGCTTGAGATTCTTCTCTTGGAAAAGAATAGTATTAGAAATAGAAGAAGGGCTGAAGAGATGGCTCAGTGGTTAAGAGTATGCACTGCTCTTCTAGAGGACTTGAGTTTGATTCCTAGCACCCATATCAGGTGGGTCATAACCACCTGTAACTAAAGCTCTAAGAGGATTTGCCACTGCTGAGCTCTGTGAGTACCTGTGCTTAGTGCATACACTCACATACACACATGTATACATACATACACCACACACACCTACAATAATAATAATGGAAATAATGAAAGAATGCACACACATGGGTTCACATACATGAACATATACCACACACACAAACACACACACAACTACAATAATAATAATGAAAGAATGCACATACTCACACACACATGTATATATATCACACATACATACAATAATAATGAAAGAATGCACACACATGTACAAACACACATGTATGCACACGCATACATACATGCACATGTGCACACATGCAAACATACATGTTTTATTAAACAAGGTATCAAAGCATATCCACAGAACACACATAAAACTAGTATGTATTAATTCACAAAGAACTCAAAGACAAAACAAAACAAAAGGCTGCCATCTTAAAGCCAACTAGAAGTAATTAGTAGGAATTTAATATTGTACTACCTAGAAACTTGAAGAGACTACTTCAAAAATTAAAACAAAAAAAGGAGGCAGTGAAACCCTGAGTGGGATGCTAGAAATTTTAAATGAATCATACCAAATCTATGGTAAGACATTTAAGTGCTTGAGGAAATGCCTCCCCCTTCTTAAAGAAAAAATTACAATACTGAAAGAAAAGGAATTGCTTTTGGTTTTGTGTTAATATTATAGTAACCTCAACCCAGACAATTTTATTAGGGTTTTTTTTTTTTCAAAATTTTATTCAAGAGACACTATCTGGGTTAGAGAGCTAGCTCAGTGAGCGAGCGCTCATTGTGCAAGCATGAGGATGTGAGTTGAGATGTCCTTGGAAAAAATGTTTGGCTTGATGGTGTCTGCCTGCAAGCCCAGTGCTGGGGAAGTAGGGACAGATTGATCCCTGGGGTTTACTGGCAAGCTGGTGTCACTAATCAATGAGCTCTGGTGTAGTGAGAGATCTTGTCTAAAAAAAATAAGGAGCACAGTAGAAGATGCTAAAAACTGAGCTCTGGCCTCTACCTGCACACGTCCTATCACCACCACGTACATACACACACACACACACACACACACACATTCATATCACACACACATACATAAACCACACCCAAATCTTAATATGTGATCATATTAATCACCTTGTCGCTTTGACAAAATGCATAAAAGGAGCTACTAGAAGGAGAAGGGATTTATTTTGGCTCGTGGACTCAGGGGCTGTGAGTCCACCATGGCAGGGAAAGACAGCTCATCCTGTGTTGACGGCAGTGGAGGGCAGCAGGCAGGATGCAGACATGGATGCTACCTTCATGACTATTCCCAGTGACCAGCTTCCTAGGCCACAGTCCCACAAGTCCCACAATCTCCCCAAACAATGTAACCACCAGGGAGTAGACGTTCAATGTCTTTGGAGGACGTTTCAGATTCAAATCCATCAGAAAGTATTCTTGAGTAGAAAAAAAAAGGTTGATTTTTTTTATTAGAAAAGAAAATAGAAATTACTAAGTAAGTGCCTCACCAAAATAGAAATTAAACCTATAGAAACATAAAAAAATCATCAACCTCATTGATGAGTAAAAAATTATCATTATCAGTTGAAAACTCAAAAAAAAAATTATAAGTTGAAATAATTATATGCATAGTGGGAGGGAGTGTAAATTTACATATGCTTCCAAGGAGTGATTTCCCAGTATGTGTGAAAAGCCTTAAATATAAATCATAATTTTTGGTCCAGTAATTCTAATTTTTGGCATTTTCTAATTGAAGTAATTAAAGTTATGCACAAATGATAATTATTGCTTTCACTTTTATAATAGTGAGAAATTAGGATCACATTAAATGCCCGAATTAGGAAGCCATTTAAATAAATTATAGAGCATGTCATGGAAAATATGCAAGAATCTAAAATAATGTTGTAAAAGAATATGTAAGCACCAGAGGGAAAGCCTGCAGCGTACAGCATTTCTAGGTGAGTTCAAGTGGGCTTCGCAGCAGAGTAAGTCACATTTCTCAGAGTAACTTTAAGGATGTGTGTTTAATCTGGAAGGATGTGAGCAGAGGTGTTAACCCGGGGCATCCCACTTTCTCTCACCCAAATGAAAATACTTTCATTATTTTCCTTATTACACAGGAGTACAATTTCATTACACAAATATTCAGTTGGTTCAAAGAAGTAGAAAGTAAACATACTCCATACCGAAAATTCCATCAATGTAACTTTAAAAAATATACTTTGATGAAATCTTTTATAATTTCTTATCATGTATTTGGGTTATATTCCTCTCTCCCCACATTATTCCCCCTAACTTTTCCCAGATACCACCTCCCTCCACCTCTCAACTTCCTGTCCTTTTCTCTTTAAAATGACTGACTGTATCAAATCTGTGCCGTCTGTATACTCATAGGTGTGGGGCCATTCACTGGAGTATGATTGACCTGTGAAGAACTATACTCTTAAAGGAGCCATCAACTCTCTATAGCTCCTCAGCTAGGTGTGGGGGCTTCTGAAGCCCTTTCCTCTTCTGTGCTGGAATGTTGACTAACTTAATGCTATGCAGGTCTGTGTAAAGAAAACACAGCTGCTGAGAAGTTATGAGCGCAATGGTCCTGTCATATCCAGAAAACACTGGCTCTTACAATCTTTCTGCTACTTCCTCTGTGCTTCTTGAGCTTTGAAGGAAAGGTTTGCAAAGTACATCTCCCATTTGTGGATGAACCCCTACCCTCTACACGTTGACTAGGGCTTCAGCCATCACCCACTGTACAAAGAAGCATCTCCGATAAGGACTGAGAGCTGTACTAATCTGTGGGTAGAGAGATAAGAATTTAGAGAGCAGTTTGGTAGAATGTCAATTTAGCAGAACCGTAGTATAATATAGTAGTGGGTTTACCCTAAGGCCCAGAGCTCCCCTACCATGTGTTGTTGACCAGACCACAGTATCAAGCATGTATTTCCTCCAGTGGAGTAGGCCTCAAATCCAATCATAAAGTGGTTGGTTACCCACATAACTTTCCTGCCGCTACTGTTCCCACTGGTATGTAGTCTGTTCACAGTTGAACAAGACTGTTGATTGCTTCCTGCCCACAACCCAAGCAGGCTATGTGGCACCTTCTAATAATACAAAAGCTAGCCAGCAAGGAGGAAGCATCTGAATTTGATTTCTTAGTGACCTATAACCGAAGTATGTGGCATCTTGAGCAATTTGGTCATACCATCAAGTTCTAGTGGGTCACCAAGAGCAAAGGCAATAGTCTGTATTGTTTGGGGTCTCTAACCCTGGGCATCTCTTAAATGGTGGGTTTATATGTGATTTTATTTTTTCTATGTAATTAAAATGACTTATTATTTGTTTAAAGAAAAGGTATCACTTGATAGCATAATAGTAACAGGTGTTTATAAAATATGTATGGAAACAGGACATTTTAAAAATATACTTTCCTGTATTTGCTTTACCTAGCAAGAGTGCACAAAGTTGTTGTATGTTTTATATTTTTGTCTTTGCTTTGGTCATGTATTATTTTTTAAACCCATAAAGTTTAAATGAAAGGACAGGAGGAAGGAAGAAAAGGGATGAATTTTGAAGAAGTCTTTAAAATAGAAGAAATACCGCAGCATACTGCTCCCTTATTCAACAACTTGTTTTATAGTTACCAAGTTAAATGTCTAATGTGTGTCAGGCTTTGTCATTAGCCATAAGACACAGAGGTGAGACAGAATGAATTCTGCTCCCCTGAGCCTTTCAGGGTTGTAAGGAAAGCCTGACCCTTTGATAAAGCATGAGTAGTCACATATCAATTGTAAATTATGACAGTGTAGTTTGCATTAGAACAGCATTCATGAGATTAAGATTCCATATGAATGGAAATATTTAAGAGAATTATTAAGAAAAGGGGAACACTAGAAAGATAAACAGATGTGAAGATGTACTTGGGAAAGAGAGGAGCAAGAGGAAGAAAAATTATACAAATGTAGTTTATTGTCTTTCTAAAAAAACTGGAGAATAGTTGGGTTGGGGGTATGGCTAAGTGGTAGAGTGCTTGCCTGGCATGCACAAGGCTCTGGGTTCAATCCCCTGGCATTGAAAAAGATAGTTGGTAGGGAAAGAAGGAAGGGAAGGAGGGAAAGGAAAGAGAGGAAGGAAAAAAGGAAGGAAAAGAAAGGAAAGGAAAGAAAAGGAAAGGAAAGGAAGGGAAAGGAAGGGAAAGGACCTAGAGGCGGGAGGGAAGACAGAAGCCATTGGTGTATGACTGGATGTGTAGCACTCTGGTGACTTGGTACTTAACTGGCTGTGTAATTCTGCTGACACTGAGAGTGAGCAGAGAATGGCAGGGACCTGTGCTGAAGGCAGATGATGAAACCTTGACTTGTTATTTTAATGGTAGATGAAGACTTAACACAAATTCCAAATTTGTGTATGAATTAACCAATGTCAACAGCATAATCTCCTAACTGAATGTAATACCATGTACTAAATCTCAGAAAATATCAAAACTCTTCCAATACCTATGAAAGACTTCATGGAAGAATTCTTTTACAGCTCAGGTGTGTACTCAAAAACAAAACAAAACAAAACAAACAAACAAACAAACAAACAAACGTTTTGTCTTTCAGCCTTAAATGAACCCACCATAGACTATGGCTTCCAGAGACTGCAGAAAGTCATCCCAAGGCACCCAGGCGACCCTGAGAGGCTAGCTAAGGTAAGATGCGCTTGGAAATTGATAAGCAAACATCTTTTTTGTAGACACTTGGCAAATTTAGACAAATCTACTCATTTGAGTCCCATTAAAATTAATTAAGCCTGGAAACTGGCTGTGCTGTAGTTAAGAATATGAACATAAGGCACGTGCTTATTGTGAAATACATTATGTTTAATATCTGAGGGAATGTGAAATCTCAAAGTTCAGTCTCATAAAACAGATACACTCCAAGAATTCTGGGGGCAAGGGGTTGAAATGGGGTTTCTCTGTGTAGCCCTATCTGTCCTAGAACTACCTCCATAGACCAGGCTGACCTTGAACTCACAGTAATCTGCCTGCCTTTGCCTCCAGAGTGCTACGATTAAAGATGTGCACCACCACGCTAATTGTATAAAGATAAATATTTGCAGTATTACTTAAAAGTGAAAGTGTCACTCCTTTGTATTTAAATAGGGATTTTACTTAGCCTCAACTGCTGAAGCTCATCAATATATAGGCAGGCATTCATGGAGAGTCTATCGTGTACATAAGAATTTAATGATGATTAAATGTCTCTATACAACACTTTTATGAAAGAGGTCATTTGCGAATGAATTTGCTCAGAAAATGTCACCTTAAATCTAGCTCATGACATCGCCCTTCTTTATTTAAAAATAGGTCCATGTATCTATTGCCATTTGACCACAGGGAAACTATTAGATTTTTTTACATTCATATTTGTGCTTTAAGCATGCAGATTATGAAATGGCATGTTCTTTATTCTGTGTCTGAATAAAAAACCCAAATAGTAGTGGCTTCAACAACACACTATTTTTTTCCCTTCCTGGTAAAATACTCAGCACCATTAAATCAGACAATACCTGGACAGCAGCTTAATAACAATCTAAAAGGCTATAAACAAAATAACAACAACAATTACAAAAATCCCAACAGAAACCCTAGGGGTAGAACAGCAAAAGGAGACAAGAGGGATTAGCAATTGCTGATCCTTTTCTGCTTAGAATAAACCAGGGGGAAATATTACTGAAAGAATTCATCTTTACGAGAATAAAAGTTCGAGTAGGTATTGCCAAGAGAATTTCAGGACTCTGTCAACTCCTTGGTAAGCAGCTAAAGACCCATCAATCACTTGAAGAATATCTGATTAATTAAAGGTACCAGGATTTTAAAATACAATGGTCTTAAAGTAATTTTTAATAAAATATCCAAAACATTATCATTTTTAATCAGCTTTGCCCTCAATTTGAAGGTTTTGTTGTTGTTTCTTGTTTTGGGGGGTTTTGTTTTGTTTTTTGGTTTTGGTTTTTGCACCAAAAACCATTATGGAACCATTATAGTAGTAAATTTCTACAGCTACCCATTTGTAGGATTTGTAAATGTGATTATATCCTATTCATCAAACTTAATATCAGATTTCTTAGCTTATTATATTTGGAGGCAATGTGTGAGCTTGTTTTCATTTATAATTTTTTGTTTGCCATTTGGGGCTGTCTCTCTGATTGTATCCTCCCCTGTTTTTTCTCTCAGGAAATGCTATTGAAAAGAGCTGCAGACCTGGTGGAAGCCCTCTACGGCACACCCCACAATAACCAGGTTAGATATGTGCATCTTGCGCTCTGTTGCGTTTGACTCTTAGTTCTGGATACCGTGCTCACCCCCGTGTGCCTTTCCGTAGGACATCATTTTAAAGCGTGCAGCGGACATTGCAGAAGCCCTGTACAGCGTCCCCAGGAACCCCAGCCAGATCCCAGCTCTCTCCAGCTCCCCAGCTCATAGTGGCATGATGGGTATCAACTCTTACGGCAGCCAGCTCGGGGTCAGCATTTCAGAGTCCACACAAGGAAACAACCAAGGTACTCCCTTCTGAAAACCAGCCACCAAATAGGTCTTTTCCATCAAAAGGCCAGCTCTCTGGGGTGTGCGGCTTTAGAGAACGCATCATTAGCTATTGGATAATGGGGCATGTAAACCCCACTATTACAGATGGACTATTTCACCACTGCAGGTAGTTTGTGGTTAGATTCTGGGAGCTCTGGGAACTAGATAGAATTCTTTTGACTGGAAATACTAATGGGTAAAGTTTAGTATCATAAACTTCAAAGAGTTTAGGCATATGGAAATGAGGCTTCATGGAATTAATTTTATACTGATGCTATTACGTGGTAATCTGATTGAATGACAGAGAGAGCGGGTGGCATCATTAATGTTCCCTCCATGCAACTCTTGGTAACCCAGAGTAGTGACTTAGCTTTCCTTGGTTATTTCCATTGCACTTGATCTTACATGGAAATACATGGCAGGTTGTTTAGTGAACTCGACTTTGTATATGAAGCCTACCATATGTCCCAGTGAGGTTGATTTTATAAGGAGGCCCATCTAAATTTGCTATACATAGTCCTTTACAAAGAATAATTTTTTACAATACTGTCCTTAACGTTACATTTTTATTTCCTTTTTTCACTCACCATGATCTACACGGTAAATTATTTTTCATTCGATGATGTATTTTAGACTGCTTTATAATATGTTCTATATTTGTTGATTAGTTGATTGATTTAAATTTTTTGAGACTCAGACAAGCTATGAAGTCTCAGGCTGCCCTTAAACTCACTATGTAGTACAGGCTAGCCTTAAATTCACTATGTGGTTCAGGTTTGCCTTAAATTTATGGCATGCCTTTTGTCTCAGATTCTCAAGCACTGTGATTGTAAATGTGAACTGTACTACTCAGCAGCCTTTATAAATATATATTTATATATACATATATAAATATATAAAGATATATGTGTGTAATATATGTGATATATATATATACATGACATACACATACATACATACATACATATAATATATAGTCTGTAGATATAAAAGATATCTATCTATACACATTTCAGTTCTGGGAATTGAACCCAGAACATTTCCCATGCTAGGCAAGTATTCTATCACTGAGTTACGTCACCAGATCCAATCACATTTAAATGTATTCATCCTCAGAGTTTCGATCAGGACAAAGTGATGCTGGCTCTGTGCCAGGCTTCAGAACCATAAGGAGACTCTTCACCCTTCATGTCATTCATGGCCATACTTAGTGCTCACTCCTCAGGGCCCTGGATCAACAGAGTTCACTGTGACTCCTAGTACTTTCTGATTTCAAATGATTTCCAGCCCCATACAGACAACGGCACTGACTTTGAAGTACCATTTCCAAACTGCTCTGCAGAATGCAAATGGGCCCAGAAATGTTGCTAGGACACCTTTCCCCACCCCCAGAAAAGATTCTATGGTGCGTTAAATTAGCAAAATACTAGACTGGCAAGTTTCGAGCAGGATATTTAAACTTTAGACCCTTTGTTTGACAATCTTCAAAAAATTGTTTCGGTGCGTAGCATCTGCCCAGCTTTGTTTGGCTGCTGAATGGTTTTCTCGGTGACAGCCATTAGAACCTTGTAGAACTCCAATGTTCGTGTCCAGTGAGGTACAGCTTGGCAGGTTCACTTACCACAGCAGAGAGACAGAGAGAGAGAGAGAGAGAGAGAGAGAGAGAGAGAGAGAGAGAGAGAGAGAGAGAGAGAGAGAGAGAGAGAGCTAGCAGTGCTGGGCCTCATTGGAATGTTTAGCAAGTTTCAAGCCAGCCACAGAAACATAGTGAGATCCTGTCTCAAAACCAAATTATAAAATGAAGTAAACAAAACAATATAAAGCAAAGTAAGTAGAAGAGGCAGGAAGTATCAGAGGCACGACCTGTATAGAGGAAAGAAGTTACAAAAGGCTTACAGCTTTGCTATCAAGGACCAGAATAGAGTGCTACTGGAGGATGAATTAAGCTTTTGTGTTCTGTAGCATGGTCAGGTGACAGTAGTTGACAATAGTTGTCATAAATTCCAAATAGGCAACAGAAATTTGCGAATGCTTCCAATACCAGGAAGTAATTACACATTTGAGGCGATAGATGTGCCAGCCACCCCAGTGTGATCATTGCCCACTGCATGCATTAGAAACAAAACAACAAACAAACCAGGGGTGGACAGTGACTACATGTCAATTAAAGTGCGTAAGCGAGCTCCACTTCCCACTGGTGCACGGCAGTGGTAACCTGCCGACCCGGGGTGGATGTGGACAAGCACTACCCACATTTGGCCGGTGGTGGGTACTTCTTTGTTTACCTGGCCTGTTTCTTCTGTTGTCAAGGATACATCCGCAACACAAGCAGCATCTCCCCGCGGGGATACTCCTCCAGCTCCACGCCTCAGCAATCTAATTACAGCGCCTCCAGTAACAGCATGAACGGCTACAGCAATGTTCCTATGGCCAACCTGGGTGTGCCAGGATCACCGGGATTTCTCAATGGCTCACCCACAGGCTCCCCATATGGAAGTAAGTGACCTTTGCCATCCGTCTGGCACTGCAAGCCTCCCTACAAAGGTTTCAGCCCTCAGCCTTTTAGGGGAGAGCTGTGTTCCCTAATGGTGTGAACTCATGGGAGACAGTCTCGTTTCCCGAAGGTCCTTTCTGCCTTTTGTTCTTTTCTTATGGCTGAAGTTGGACTTCCCAGTTTATGTCCTCCTTGGAGAGGAAAAGGATCAAACCCATTCCCTTGTATAAGGTGTATGTGGCTTGTGTGTGTGGAGGGAGGAGTGGACATTTCATTTCAGCTAACAGTGTGCACCCAATTCACTGGGCGTTCTCATATGCACTATTTCATTTCACCTGCACGTTATGGGCTGTAGCTACCCTACACACCCGCTATTACACAGCTAGAATTTATCAGGTGGTAGCGGACACAGAACTGGTGGCCCCCTTCTCCTCTGTCATATCTTAATCTGTTATTTTCTTTCATGGTTTCTTACATATAATCCACTTTGATCTTACCCCTAGCCCATTATCTTCTCTTATCCGCCCTCCCTCCCACCAAAGCCTTTCTTCCTTAGGAGCCTCTCATTGCTCTGTTTGTAGACCACTGCGTTTACTTTGGGTAGCTTGCTTGAGAGAGGGTGATTTAGTTGACCAAGGGTGACTTGTCAGTGGTTACACCACTGAGGAATATTACTGCCCTTTCCCTGGCAACCATTACCAGCCTACAGTTCCTCAGGGAGTGATGGGACCCTAAACAGGTCATCTGTATCATGCTGTGCTTGACTTTGCGACATGGCTCACTTCCAGAGACATGGAAGTTGACCATGTGTAGCAGTTTGCTGGATCGAGACAGAGCCTCTTAGCTTTAACCTATAGCCTAAGCAGCAGAGTCAATGGCTTGAGAAGTTGTGAAAACCCTTTTGGGTTGCTCTGGGAGCTAAGCTAGGAGCTTGCACAATGGTCCCTAGAGCCTGAAAGAGTGTGTTTTTCAAACCTACTTGGGGAATACTTGAGGCCAGGGGCCATGCTGACATGGAGAGCCAAATGTTGGTGGAGTAGAGAGCTCTTGAAATGTTGGCTGTTGTCACAAGGCTTGTGCCTGCCCTTCTCTTCACCCAGAGAGGCTCTCTCGTGCCAGAAACAAGGACATGTCAAGGACAGCACAGAGCCCTGTCAGCCACGGCTCAAGGGACAGGCCTTGGGAGCTATTTCTCACTGCCTTCAAACCTTTGGTTCCTGGGCCCACATGACCCCAAAATATTTCTGAGCTGTTTTTAAGTCAGTATTACCCAGTGTGATGGAGATTCAGGACCAAGGAGCTGAATGCAGCACAGACCCTTTCTTTCAGTACAGGTACCATGTGTCATGTGTGTGAGTGTGCGCACGCACTCGTGTCACATGGCCTAGACTCACTGGAGCAAAGTAACTTATGGAAATATGTTATTGTCAATTGGTTTGTTTTTACTCTACTTAAAAAACAAGAGAACAAAAAACAAACAAACAAACCTTCTTTTTCCAAAAGTATGTGGTAGAATGATAATCAAATGGACTGTATAAATGTATAATACACAAACCAATGGGAAAGTGAAGCCAGGGGAAAGATGTATTTATAATAACTGGATACATCTGAGTGTGGGCATCGAGACCATTCTATATGAAGACTTCTTGTTTTCCAGTTCACAAAATGTTATTGAAAAGGCTGTTTCCTGTGCTGTGTGTCTATCTGTGCTGTGTGTCTATCTGTGTATGGCCTTGTTAGGGAACGCAGAAGAAATATAGACAGTTTAGCTCCTGAGACCAAGGTGGGTTTGTCACACACTTGGTCAAGAATGAGATACCTTGTGTGACAATGAGGCTTTCCCTGTAACAGACCTCCCCCCGACCAAGAAGCATGGCGGCCTGAGAGAGAGCACCATGATTCTGACAGCAATTCACGTCTTCCTCTCTACAGGTTAAAGAGCAGTCTAGAGCTCACTCAGATGGCCTCAACCACTTTGTGGCACATGTTCAACAATAAATACTATCACTACTTTCACTTACAGAGATGAGGAGTTGCTTAATGACATGCTCAAAGAGTCAGAGTAGGTAAATGGCTCAAACGGGACCAGACTCGGAACGGACTTGTCACCAGACTCGGAACGGAATACTGTGTTTTCAGACTATTCAGTAACACAAAGGATGGAGACTCTTCACAATGTATCATTGGGCTAAAGCAGATGGAATTTTCTTCTTCTGACCTTTCCTTAAATCATTTTGTTAAATTTATTTTACCTATCTATGTGTACCTGTCTGTACACACACACACATGCTCACATGGATGCCACGCCACATATAGAGAACAGAGGACAACTTTCAGGGGTTGCGACTCCTCCCGTGTTAGTCTCAAGCTGTCAGGCCCCTTTACCCACGGAACCATCTTGTCAGCCCTCAGGTGGGCATTTTTGATAACCAGAAATGGCAATTTCTCATGGTTCAGTCATAGGGCTGTGTATGTACAAGGTTGAACTTGTTAAATAGTTGCTTTGTAGATTTTAAATAGTTTATTAATTATTAATATGAACTCCATGGTGCATCCTGTGGTGTTAGTGGTGTGTGTGTGTGTGTGTGTGTGTGTGGTATAGGCTCAGTTGGGTATTCACCTAATGTTTCTTACTAGAGCATTCCTCCAGGAGAGAGACATTCTGCTCACTCATCAATAGATTCAGGAAGCAGTATACCCTAAATTTTTAAGTCACCTGTTGATATGGAAGACAGGATGGTATCCTGCCCAGCAGGAAGTGAGGAGACTTCAGAGGACCCCTTATGACCCCTGCCATCCTGAAAGTGACCATTGCACCCTGGTTTTGGAGGGAGGGTCTGAGGGAGCTGAAGACTGTGAATGGCATTCCTAATGGTGCATTCGTTACGATCAAATCCGCCTGTTGTAAAATCCCAAATGCCCAGTGGAGTTCATTACGATAACACCTGACCTGTATTTCTAACCAGCGAGGTCTTCACTTCTCTGGGAAATATTTTTTTAAAGCCCAGGGGGATAGGTTTCATCAGTTCAGTTGCTTATGTCTGAAAACACAGCCCAATGTGGGTTTTTTTCTCAGCTTTTTTTTTTCTTCTAATGAGCTTGATGTGGCTGGACCATGCCATGGGACAATCACTTGCCAGAGACACTAAAAAAACAATAGAGCCAAAGCACGCTTTCTCAGTGAAGTTTGCCCTGCATTACAGCCAACATAGACGATCAAAAGCTCTGAATCTTCCCTGCTTTTGCTGTCACACCCCTTCAAAAATGGCCGAACAGATGTTTTTTCAATCTTACATACGAACTTCACTTCCTGGCGGTAGCCGCATGTGCCAAGTTTCAGCTCGGTGCAAGTTTTTATGCCTGGATTTTAAGCCCCTGACAATAGGGGGTTCTAATGAGATGCTGACAGACCCCTTGAGTGCCAGCAACTATGCTGGCTGGATGCAGATGCAAAGGAGGGTCTGGGAGTTCCAGCAGAGGCTGAGCTAGCCAATCAATCCTTGTAAGAAGAACAGTAATTTTTCTTCAACTCCCAGGTTCACATAGATTTCTGGGCCAGACGTGCTTGCCTTTGCTTGGCCTCTGTCCACAGATGGATGTCCAGAGACATTCTCAATTGAAAGTCTGTGTGATCAGCTTTCCCAAAACGGTGCGCTCTGCTGTCCCCAAACATGGTCTACTCAACAAGCCAGCAACACCCATGGGGACTATGTCTTCCAAGCAGAATAACCACCGAGCCAACCCAAAGTTTGGGATAGAATCCATTCAGGCAGCCATCCAACGTACTTCACTTTCAGTCTTAGACCGTGCCCTGGGCTTCAGTATTTTTATATTTTCAGAAATAAATATTAAGAAGTTTTCCATTATAAAACATTAAATGACTATTATAGAACATGCCAAACACAGAGAAATAGTTTTTAAAAGAGAGAAGACTCCCTCCTGCAAAATATAATCTCAATATTTTGATTCATCTCATTAGCATTTTTTAATTGTTCAAATTTTCAAAATTTTTACTTTTATGGGCATTGGTGTTTTGCTTGCATGTGTGTCTGTGTGAGGGGGTTGACTCCACAGAACTGGTTCATAGATAGTTATAAGCTGCCATGTAGGTGATGGAACTCGAACCTAGATCCTCTGTGAGAACAGTCAGTGCTCGTAAGCGCTGAACTATCTCTCCAGCCCCCCGGGTCCATTTCTTAAGTAAAGAAAAAACAAATTCTATGATAATAGAATTCTAACTCTAGATATTCTGAAAAGCATGTCTAGGCTCAAAAGAAAGTTAGAAATAACATGCCACGTCTATGTAGGTATAACCACTGGTTGGTTGGTTTGGCAGTACTGGGGTCGAACCCAGGGCCTTGTGTGTACTAGGCAAGTGCTTTATCACTACAGGACATCCTCAGCTAAACAACCATTAATTTTGAAAATGCGGCCTTTGTGATCATGCTAGATACACTTTGAAAACTGTGACTGGGAGTATGCAGAGAGGTACACAGAAGGTAAGTGACAATGACCAATGTTACAGATGTGACACAGGCTCTAAGAAGCCCTTCAGTGATGTAAACATAAGTCCTGAGGCTGGAGAAGAGGAACTAGGAGTAACATTTGCCTTAAAAAGTCAATTCCTGGGGCTGGGGACCTGGCTTGGCAACTAGTGTGCTTGTTATGCAAGCATGAAGACCTGAGTTCAAATCCCCAGAGCCTAGTATCAAATCTGGCTATGGTAGTGTGCTTATGACTCAAATGCTGGTGGGGTGGGGGTAGGGGGTCAGGTAGAGACAGGAGGATCACTGAGGCTTGCGCAATACCCACTTAGCTCCTGTTTCAGTAAAAGACTTACCTCAAGGGATTGAGTCAGAAAGAGATAGAGCAGGATACATGATGTCATCATCTGGTTCCATATGTGCACAGACATGCATGTAATGTCTGTACACACATGAACACATACATCACACACACACACACACACACACACACACACACACACATCAATTATCACCATACTACTTTTCCCAGGAATCTGAGAATTTATTAATGTCTTTGCTCGTGTTTCTTTTGCTGTGAGAAAACACTGTGTAGTCAGAGGTGACTTGGGGAAGAAAGTTTTGATTTCAGTTCACAGCTCTCAGGTCACCTTCCATTTCTGAGGGAAGTCAGGCCAGGAGCTCAAGGCAGGAACCTGGAGGCAGGAACTGAAGCAGAGGCCATGGAGGACGCTGCTGCTTACTGACTTGCTCTTCATGCCTTACTTCATTATACAACCTAAGACATCGGCCCAGCAGCAGCATAGCCTACAGTTATCCGGTTCCTCCCACATCAATCATTCATCAAGAAGATGACCTACAGGCTGAACTGGTTTTTCAACTGAAGTTCTCTTGCTGGACACTCAGGGAAGCTTTGGGCCTTTTGCTAACGATCCTGTTCTCACCATTAAAAAAAAAGATTTTTTTTCCATTTTTCAATTTTAGTACCTTTATTTTCCCCTATATCACAAGTGATTAGATATTCATCATAGAAAGGACTGAAAATATAGACAAGTGAAAGGGATACATTTGAAAATACTCTCTAGTTTTTCAGCCAGAGATAGCACAAATCAGATATCTATCACATCCCTCTGTGCTTTGCTTTGTGTATGTGTTTTCTTTAAGTAGAAGTCAGGTTGATGTATATCTTCTTGAGCAGTCTGCTTTGATAGTCCAAGGGAAGGGGTTTCAGCATTGTTAAGTTTCTTCTCAAACGTTAGTTTAACTGTTTTGTTAATACCCCACTGTATGGACTTGATACAGTTTACTGTACTGTGGGCCCTGTATTTCCCAACTTCTTATTGTTGTAAAAAGTCCTTGAATCTTTACTCCCTTTTTTTGGCACATTTGTGATCATCCCTTTGAGATTAATTTCTAGAGATTAAATTAGTGGGTCAGATGATATGAACATTTGAACATACTCTGCTATGGATTGCCAAAGTCCCTCTAGAGGGATTGAATCTCTTCCTCGGGAAAGAGCCAGCATGTGGTTCCCGCCCCTTAGCCGTTTCTTAGCTTCTATTCATCTAATAAATGAAAAATAGCATTTTGTTACTATTGTCATTACTGTTTTAGAATTCTCCGGTTGGAATACTTCTGTCCAGGTCTCCCGGCTGTTTCTGTTGGTATTCTTTGCCTATCTTTCTCCTTGTTCCTTCTCCTAATTAACTGATAGCAGCATATCAGCCATCAAAGGCACAAGCACAGGAAATACGCGTTTTCTTGATTTGCCATTTGCTTCTTGTGCACATGTGAGTTACAGAAGCTTTGTCCCTGCATGTCAGCTCTCTCTTTTCCTCATCTGTCATGACATTGTGGTTCAAAGAATGGCACACATCATGTCACTGTTTGGTGCCCACTGCCACTTCACAGCTTTTTTGCAGGTAGCTCCATATTCTACACAGATTTGCTTTCATACTGAACACAAGGACAGACTCTAAACTTCATCTATTTAATCTTCCCTGGGAAGTGAACTAGATTCTTGCAACCGCTCCCAACACCATGGCACATACTAGCACTTTTAGTGACCCTCAGGTCTCATCCCTAACCACGGCCATTTCTGGTCCTTGTTTTCCCCCAACCTTTTGTCTGCCTATTTGTTAGTATAGTGTATTTACCACATCTTTTACTGTCTAACTTCAGTGCCTGCCTTGTCAACAGAACTTTGTTATAGTACGGTTATTGAAGTATAAAGCTAGAAGTTACTTTGGCTGAAATGCACAGAATTTTAAGACTTCTGCTTCAAATGTTTTAAGTTATAATTTATGTTGGGTACCATTTATCATTTTCACAGAATGTTTGAGAATTGTCTTTACAGGGGTTTGCCCTTGTCACCTCTGCCACAACTCTTTTGTAGCACTTGGTAAAGTATCTCTTGAGAAGCTGCTGTGGTTCGAGCCATACTCAATGCTGACATGTTGATACATGTGTGGATTTGTGTGTACATTTGTATATGTGTATTGCTATGTGTGTACATGTGCTGTATGTGTTTGTACATTTTTTGTTGTAT